GGATAGAAAAGCATCCCACAGATCTCTTTTTTTTTAAAAATTATGCTGTGGGATATTTTTTTTGCCTGCCACCTGTGCTACCCCAGCCGCTCCTTCCCACGCCTGGGTGAATTTTTTTTGCTTCTAGGTAAGGAAGTTAAAGGTAGTTTAGTTACTGTTTTCAGTGAATCTTCAAAGTGCTCTGTAACTTTGGGTAAGCTTTAGCAATGTGAAATAATACATATATGTGGAAGGAAAGAAATTCTGACCTCATTTGCGCCCATGTCGTCTGCTGTGTCCTTTTTGGTGTTTCAGATGGGAGGAGGCTAGAGCCCTAGGAGGTGACCGATATCTCAGCCGAGTACTGGAAACCTCTTGGCCAGCAAGGTCAAGGATGAACAACGTATTTTCTCCTTCTTGCTTATGGGACTTGAAATAAATCAAAATGGACAGGAACCTACAACCAGAGATTTTGATTGTGTCCAAACGAGGACAAGGTAAAACAAGACCTAACTAGGATTTAAAGACACTAAAATTGAAACACGGTAACCAGTAACCTCTATCAAATTTGCTAAAACCCTCAGGTTTCTCATCTCTAGCCTATCTCCACTTACAATATCGACGCTAAGAGTTAAAAAGCAGTGAATGGTATGCGTATCTTATCTGGCGTTCAATGCAAGGTGATGGTTTCGAAGGCAGTACTGTCTCAGAATTTCAAAGTCGCTGGTGTTCATGTTAGATAGAGTACCACTTGGTGGTCATTTGGAAGGCGCTTCTACTTCTGTGTAACTTTCTTCTAGGTTGGGTATAAATATTCCTGGGAGGCTAAACAGAAATGCATTTCGTTTAGATACAAGTCTTAGGCACGAGTTAGAAAACTGCTGACTGTAATGAAAATATATCAGCACTTAGTAGTATCCAATAATATAAAAAAAGCAATTCAGAACATCTTCAACTACGTCTATATGTGTGTGCGTCTATATATAGGTATAAAGGTACAATACATACATGTATATAAACACAGACACATATACAGAAATATTCACAACTGGAACTGTATTTGTAACTAACCTGAAATACTGCAGCAAAAGTTCATTCTGATGAACCGTTAATAATAGTATTTTCCAGCTTTTGGCTCTAACCATAGTTAAAATGTTAACACCTCAAACTAAACGTTTCGCTACCCTAACTTTCTGCTGTCCTAGCTTTTTGCTATCTTTTTTGCTACCCTAATCAACGTGTCAGAACCAAGCGCTCCTATACGGGGACGATAAGCGTACCCTGCCTAGCGTAAAGCTGTGCAGCTACCGAGCATGCTTGCAGCCACGAGCCCCGGGTGCCTGTGGATGGTTTTACTTCCTTGGATGGTAACATTTAGCGGATTGGAAATGCGTAAAAGGCAGAGGGGACCTTCGGCGCACAGGTGCCGAATCATCGCCGCAAGGTTGTGACTTTTGCTGGAGAGGAGTTCCCTGACGAGCAGCGATAAAAAGAAGTGGACGATGTGGGTGGGAGTTTCACGGGGCTCACGGCATCTCCCTCCTGCAGCTTCCAGAGGAGCTCTTCGTTAGTCCTGCTCAGCTTCTTCTTCTCCTCCACTTCTTTCTCAACGTATTCTTGAAGATTAGCGTTCTCCTCCGACAATTGCCTGGAAAGGGAATCAGGACAACATGTAAGGTCCACCAATGCCTCGGTGAACCTGCTCTCTTCTAACCAAGTGACTGGTTTTAAAAGAAACGGGGCGGTGCAGGCAGGCTGTGGGACCTGATCGAGACCTGGTTTGGGCATGTGCTGGTAACACCACCAACCAGGAGGATGTGTGCAGGAAGACCTGGCTTCTGCAGCCCCACTGCGCTTGGGCAGGAGCCAGGTCCTGATGGGAGCCGCCTGGGGCAGCTCTGGGCATGTACCTGACCTGATTTACAGGCAACTTAGGATCTTCTAGAAATAAGGGAGGAGGCACCTAACCTCCCCGTTAGGTAAAAAAAAGCTGGGTGTGGATTTTGGATGCACACACAGAATTCTGCACAACTACTTTTCTGGATGTAGCCTGAAGCCCATGGCAGATGTCACGGACTGCTTGTCCACTCTCTTTGTGTCATCAAAAGTCTCTGAGTGGGTAGGGTTGGCCCATTTTTAAAGAATTTCTGCTTTTTTAGCCTCGCTTCCTACAGAAATGGAGCTCCCACCAGACCAGGTTGCTCACAGCCCCATCCAACCTGGCCTTGAACACTCTCAGGGATGGGGCAGCCCCAGCTTCTCTGGGTAACCTGTGCTACTGCCTCATCACCCTCACTGGGAAGAATTTCTTCCTCATATCTCACCTAAATCTTCCCTCTTCCAGTTTAAAGTCATTGCCCCTTGTCCTATCAAGTGTTCTCACTAGGTAACTTTGTGTCTTGAGATCTATGTTCCAATTTTAGACCTAACCCATCTAGGGAAACCTTTCTCCCCAGCACTGCGGACTTGCTATCAGATGTGTTCCTCTGCCAGCTTCCCAGCAACTTAACCAGCTGTAACAAATCACAGCCGTAAAACCGGAGAGGTCTGCAGAGGCACACCGACATGATAGGGATGCAGGGGAAGGTGCTTGAGTCGTGCCCTCGCCTCACATTACATCATCTCCCAAAAGACCCAGAAGTCAATAGGTGCCTGGGCTGTGCCAGCAGAGACTGGACACCCTCCTGGTCATCTCATCTCTAGGTTACTGGAAATGACCGTTCCTCAAACATCCCCAGTCCAAAGGACCAAAAAAAATTCTGGTTGATTTGGAGGAAGAATCCAAGATGTTGGGAAATCCAATGATTTATTCAAGTGCTTGGGGAAGTCCCAGCAGAGGCTCTGTAGAGCTCCTGTGTCCAAAACTGGTGCATGACCTACCTGCAAGACTCTTCTCCCTTCCTTTGTACCTGCTATGATTGGAAATACCTCTGCGTGCATCCCTCAGCCCCGCGATGCCTCTGGGACCCCCCTCCTGGCCGTGCTGCAAAGGCTGGCTTTGCTCTGGCTCCCATCCCTCCTGCTCTCCTCTCACCGCTGCTGGGCTGCTACAGCCGGACGGGCACCCAGACTCACATCGGCAGAAATGGTTCTAATCCGGGCAGAAATGGCTCTAATCTGGGCAGAAATGGCTCTAATCTGGGCAGAAATGGCTCTGATCCGGGCTGTACCCCAGTAAGGGCAGCTCTCCGAGCTGGTTCATGCTGACCTTCCCAGGCAGTGCCAGTCCAACAGCAACAAGCAGTTGGGGTGCCTACTGCTGCCAGGAAAACGCATGTTTGTTTTAATAACTCCAACTTTAAAGCCCTGGCTGATGTTGTCCCTATAGCTGTCCCTATAACCATCCCCATAGCTGTCCCCATAACTGCTACTGTTGAAAATGACTGTCCTCGAAGGTGACTTTCCAGGCTGACCTCAAATTCAGAATTTCTCCCAAAAGATGTTCTTCGAAACCAGTACCTACGTGGTTACAGGTAAGAAGCAAAGCGCTGTGGCCGCCCTGGCAGGGAGCGGAGGGTGCTGCTCGCCCAGCCTGAGACAGGGAGCTGGGAGGTAGAGATGCCCAGCACCAAACCGGGCACCCTGCCTGCTGTGGAGAGAGACTGCTGCTTCCAGACCACAATTCATCCAGCCCGAAAGCAAGTATCTCAAACCAGTCCGGTGAACTGGACCTTAAAAATTTCAGTTTTTCCTCCCCAAGCACAGAAAGGCTGTAGGCACCCACCTGAGACAGTGACACGAGTGTTATCAGGATTCACAATCAGGTGAGAGGAAACATAATCCTCACCCCAATCTGAATGTTAGTACGAGCAATGCTGCTTTTAAAAAAATACCTCATGCAAGAATCATAGAATCATAGAATCATTATGGTTGGAAAAGACCTCAAAGATCATCAAGTCCAACCGTAAAGAGACACTTTCTAAAGGCTGAACTATCAATAAAGGAGACCCTAGAAAGACAAAAACTAAAATCAGAGATGAGATGCTGAAGCTTAAAAAAGTCAGCTAAAAACTAAATGCATTTTAGACCAACAGCATCATTTCTGGCAACAGCGACGGCTCGGCAGCTGGTGTGCTGGGAGAAGCTCAGCTCTAGCATCTCCCCCCGGTACCCCTTCTGCCGGGCTCCAGCTGCGCTCTCTTGCCTTACAGCAGACGACAAACTCTCTGGCACAGGGACTGGCCCACCCTTCTCTATTTCTATTCCACCCAACACAAGGAGCCTTGTCACCCTGGGGAAGTTGGGACAAGGGCGCAAACAGACGGTGCAGGTGAAAAAAACCCCACCAAAGGATAACCCCGCCTGGGTGAAAGTGGCATCATTGCAATGTCTCTCCTGAAATCGCCTCATTTCCCATCCTCGTTACCCACCGACTAACAGGTCTCAGGGCACTGACGCTGAGATCAGAAGCCGCTGGCAACTTTGATCTCAGCAGCATGGCAAAATCCTGGAAATACACAGACAGATACGTGACCTTCCTTAGGTCAAAGTAAGCAAACCCCAATATAAAAAGGATTTTTAAATAAAACAAGCAGATCAGGACACCAATACACTTTCAGGAGGAAATAAGTTTTTCCCCCTCTGACATAAATGAAGATCTGCAATCTCCCTTCAAGCTCAGCCAGATTGCAAACATCAGCACAAACCTTGTTATGACAGTGTTTTGCTCAATCCTGGCTCTGAGCTCTTCGTTCTGCTGTTGCAGCATGGTGATTCTTTCTTCCAGCTTTAAGTTTTTTTCAGCCTGCAACGAAAGGAGGTTTGTTAAGGCTGAAGCAAACCCAACACCTGATCCAAGAGAATTTGTTCTTTATTTTTATTTGTCCCTAGAGCAACTTCTAAAATGTGAGGATAAATGGAGGTGGTCGTCTTGACTCCAGCTGAGCCTTAGAGGTCTGGCTCACACCACATCATACTGGTGAAGTAAGGAGGGACAGCAGCAGAGCAGTGAGCAAGGGCAGAGCTGAACTAGCCCTTCCTTCTAACTGAGGAGGAGGAGGGTCTTAGTCTTGTCCAGTGCAAATAAAACCTCTTCCTCGGTGGTACCCCCACAACTTTCATCCCTCAAGAGCCAGCGTTACCAGGCGTTGTTCTTGGACAGGGAGCTGGTGGCACTTGGGGAGCATGGGGATGCCCAGCATGGAAAGGGCATTGTGGTGTCAGTCCAACGACGAAGGAGGAGTGCGAGGTGGTATGCTGTGCATCATCCAGCTCAACTAACCTCATCGGATGTAAATGGCACCCAAACCCTAGGATAATGATTCCTTGGCTATGGGGAGGAAAGAGTTACCCACCACGGCAGTTTACCCCCAGCAGCAGCCTTGGACTGCTTCTACATTCACATGAGGTGGGCTGCCCTTTGGAGACACTTCTCTCCACTGCTGACAGTGTCGGCTTAAATGATGGGCTTAAACTAGGCATTTAACTTTAAGCTACAATTAAGCGAAATGAATCCTATCCCAAGCGTAGGTAGCTTTTACTCAGGACAGTTCAAGGACAGAGTTTGAGGATGTCAATAGCAGTGTATTAAAATATCAGTAAGCTGTTTCTAGGCATGTACGACTGCCTCAGACAACCTGTTTTTCCCGAGTTTTGAATTTGACATACTTTATCACCTTAATTCTTGGTTTTCCAGCAGTTTGAATTTTGCTGAATTCAACACTTTTGGAAGAACAGGAAGATATCACAGGGTAACCTTATCTCTGTGTGAGCTCGGTTATTGAATTTCCCAACCTTTTATAAAGAACCTAACTATTGTGCATCGGAGTTAGCCGTAACTCACACTTTATGGTGGAGGCATCAGTTTTAGGCAGTGGTTTCCATTCTGTGCAGCTACCCGTAAAGGATACTCCGGATTCTCAGATATTCTTGCCCATCCCAGTACATTTTGTTAGAGCAGAACAGTGATTCTGGCCCTGCTTTCAAATGCTCTGAGAGAGGCATCGCCGTCACAGGCACCCTCTCTGCTTCCTTAATACTTTTAATAAGTAGTAGCTATGCCTGCGTGAAGCATAGGAGAAAAACCTGTGCATCTCCTTCCCTCTCCACCACAACCCTCACCCTGTACCGCTCCTCTCCTGCCACCCTCCTTTCCAGCCTCCCTTTCAGCAGACAAGGAGCCAAGCCTGACCCTGTATTCAAAATTCTCTCCCGCTCCCTCTCGAGGCACCCCATCTTTCAGATGGAGATGCTCTGTAGACGTTCTGGCACTTAGACAGGCAGATCTTTAAACAGAAAGCAGTTGTGCCTTTGGACCACAGTAAACCCAGTGTTTTACTGTGATGAAGGGCGGGAGCAGGACTGCGTGCTCGTATGTGGTTAATTAGCACAAGCAGCTAAATGACCGGGAACTATGTAGGCCGTTGTTTGGGATTTTTTTTCCCCCGTAACACTACATTGCATGTTTTCAGATGCTGGCTTAGCTCCAGGAGCAGCGTGTTGGAAGGAGCACAGTTAACAAACCTCAGTTGTAAAGAGGCACTTTTCTCTCCGTCCACTTACTCAAGCATCTGTTCAGCAAAATAACCATCAGGGTTCCCAAATTTCCCCGTAAATGGAAACATCTTGCTGAATGCTGTGCTGAACCAGCTGTCCCGGCTCCCCAGCCGCGGTAGTGCCTCCTCCTGACACCACGCTCTACGTTTACCATCGCTGGAGGTTGTGCCTTACCAAACCAATCCCCTTTCCAACAAAAAAATTATAATTGATGGGGAACTGGGGAGTTCTTCGTTAGGGACCTCCCCAAGCAAAGGATGAGAAAAACAGCGTAGACTGCAGAAATGCATTACTTTAGGGTTGGAGAGACCTTTCCTAGCGTGAGCCTTGCTAGGGACTGCTTGCTGAATATTGCTAATTCGTACTCGTGGCTGGGAGCTCCCTAAGGTCCTGCACGAGCAGCAGCCAGACATACATGGCTCAGTCTTCCTCCCCTTGCCCGCTCCAGCCCTAAGCGGCTACCTGACTCCTGCAGGGATGTGTGGTGCAGGCTGGTGTACAAAATGAAGCCCTGGACTACCCCAACGTTCCCCTGCCTCCATTCTTCCTACACCACTCGCCTCGCTGTCTAACGTAACAAGCTGAGCAGGTATTGCATGAAAAAGCAATACAGATCAACAGATGTGCGGGAGAAATCAAGGGTATCATGGGTGGGTGAAGGGATGGGAAAAGATCCCAATTTCTGAGTGAAAACCTGAGACACGGTATAGTAGAAGTGGCTACGTAGGTTGACAGTGGAACGACACAATATATAGCCATTTATGAACCTCTGACTGTGTCTTGCCCCAACCTCATGTGTTTTCTCACCCTTGTAAGTTCATCTGCTGTAACCAAACTTTTACTTTATTACCTCTGTGATGTCTCCTCTGGAGGAAAAATGACAACTCACCTGTTTTTCTAACTCCATAATCATCTTCTCCTGTTGGTGAATCTGATGGTTCTTCATTTCCAGAACATGTTTTAAGCTCTTCAGATCTTTTTCTAAGTGCAGATACGGAGCTCTTACAATCTAGGATTTGGATACATGCCAGTGATTTGGATATCTATCAGCCATAAATACATTTTTACCCATAAGCTACAGATTCCTCAATGCACCCAGTGGTTTAAGAGTCTCAGTGATGGAAAAATCACCTGGACCTGAGCCTCTGAAGCCCATCTGAACTCCGATGTTCTCTCCTAGACCATCCCTTTGGCTCGATAGCCAACGGTACCCTTCTTTTGACCAGCCTCACGGCTGGAAGGATGGGATGCCACGTTGTTCAGTAACCTCATTCCTACTCATAGCTTGGGAACTGGATGAAGTGTTTTATCCTTGGGCAGGGATTGTGGCTTGGGAAAAGTGCAAACATGAAACTGAGGAAACTGGACGGGAGGGTTGGAGGTGAGAACTACAGCGTTCTGCCTTGCCTGCACCACTGCATCACCATGCCTGCTAACAGGGATCAGATCTGGTGGAAACAAATTCCTTCTCTGCTCAAAAACTTCAGATGTAGGGGATCCGAGGGTTCAACTGATGGGCAAAAGATGTGCTCTGAATTATACTGATGAAATACTGTCGCTGACTTAAGCTGTTCTGGATTTGTCCCAGTGTAACTCACTCCGGTGAACTGCCTGGTGGTACTTGGCATTAACGTCACTGTGACACGGCAGAATTTGTCCTTTCATCTAAATTAAAGACTGCAACAGAGGTGGAAAGGGACTGATGCTACCTGTTTCCCATGGCCAAGCCTGTTTCAGACATTTGCGCTCCTTTCCTAATGAATTCTCTCACCTAAAAACTCACTGAGCCCCTTGCTCGCCCCTCTATTTTCATTCTGTCACCTCTGTCACGTTGATAGAGCTGCCCATGGGGTTGTGCTGTCAACATTCTGAAATGCCCCAAGTTAAAAGAAAACTCTTTCTGGAGGGTCATTTCAGGGTGATTTCATTTCAGATAAATAATTGCAGTGTGTGTTTACTTACACACAGTAAATAAACAGCGTGGGCCCCATAGAGAGCAGTTGAATAAATATTTCATATGACAGGGCTGTCCCCTGCAAGTCCAGAAAAAAATGAAGGAATACAGAGGATATCAAAGAAGTTGGATCAGAAGGTACAAAAAAAAAAAGAAACCTAAATGTGAAAAGACAAAACTTAAAGAGAAAGAGAGGAAGAAGGGAAAGAAGAATAGACAGCAGTAAGGATATACTAGATGGGGTTAATGAAACGTTTTGGAAACAGAGCTACAAATGCTGGGTGAAAGAATAAAGAAAAAGAAATAAAACCAGAAAATGATGGACCTAGGGTAAGATTTCTGAGTCCTCCTCAGAGTTCAAGACGTGGGGTCTCGGTTGGGACCTGCCCCCCAATCCCTGGGGTAAGGATCCTGTTGCTATGCACTGAATCACGGAATGTGAGTCATGCTTAGAAACACCTCTCTTAATGACTGTATAGTTATAGCTGCCCTCTACCTTCAGTTGTTCCTCGGTGGTTTTCTTCAAAGCCTCTTCAAATCGGTCTGCTTTGGCCTTAAGGGATTGGTTCTGGAAGGTGAGGGTGTCTATCTGGTCCTGGAGGGGAGAGACACCAATGAACACACCAGCTGCATTATCATAGAATCATAGAATCGTTGGGCTGGAAGGGACCTTTAGAGGTCATCTAGTCCAACCCCCCTGCGGTGAGCAGGGACATCTCCAACTGGATAAGGTTGCTCAGAGCCCCATCCAGCCTGACCTTGAATGCCTCCAGGGATGGGGCTTCCACCACCTCTCTGGGCAACCTGTTCCAGTGCTTCACCACCCTCACTGTAAAAAATTTTTTCCTTATGTCAAGTCTAAATCTACCCTTTTTTAGTTTAAAACCATTACCCCTTGTTCTGTCACAGCAGACCCTGCTAAAAAGTCCGTCCCCATCTCTCATCACCCCTCTTACGTTCGTACAAGTCAACCTGCACTCTAAAACCACCAGAGAAGTTGAGCAAGGCCTGGAAACCCCTGCAAAGGGGTGTTTTTTAACATAAGGCCACTTGAACATATAGTGGGGTTTTTGATAACCCGGTGCCTCAGGGAATCCCGAAATCCCTGCAACGCCTGCGGCTGGCTGACACTGGCTGGCACCGGTGCATGAAATGTCTTTGATGTTACATCAACCCATCACCTTGGGTTGGATGACAACGAGCATGTCCTTCCTTAAAAGAGCTGGCATTTATATCACAGGCCTGAAAGGGATCATTTGTGTGGTCCCTAGAGTCTGAATGAGGTGGTAGCGACCCCAGCCCTGCTTCCTTCACCCTTCTGGGCTTATAACGTGGTAACAAGCAATGATGAGTTACTAGTGCGGACTTTAAATGATTGTCGTTTCATCTCAGAGCTCCTGTGAAGGAGCAATATCTTATTTTAAGCAATCATATTTCTGTTACCATCAAAGGC